GGCTTGGTTTGGGGGTAGATATGAGCAGATATGGTCTTGCTGGGCCTCAGCTGGAGGAAACGCAGCCCTCTCTTGATGCCAAACTGTCTGTCACTGTGAACATGTGATGGGTCCACCCACCCAAGTCACCCGGTCCTGGAGCAGCTCAGGCAGTGGGCACCTTCCAGGTGTTGGCAGGGAATCCCAACTCTTCAGGCTCCACACGGGTCATAACATTCTCTTTTCTTACATTTTGCAGTTTGCAGGGGAGGTCCCTGAAAACCGGGTAGAGACAGTAGTCGCAAACCTGACCGTGATGGACCGAGATCAGCCCCACTCACCAAACTGGAATGCCATCTACCGCATCATCAGTGGGGACCCCTCTGGGCACTTCAGTGTCCGCACAGATCCGGTCACCAATGAGGGCATGGTCACCGTGGTGAAGGTGGGTGCTTGCCTAATGCCCTGCCGGGCACCCCAAGTGCTGCCACCTGCACATACTCTGTGATCAAACAGAAATGATACTTGGCATAAAGTGCATGCCACCCCTAACATCCAAGGGAGGAGGACTGTACCCAACCTACTGGAGACAGAGACAACCTTCACAAGTCCTGTCATATGACCTCTGGGCAGACCCCCAAAAATTACTCTCCTGTCCCCTCCCTGATGTCTATATTTCCCCCTTTAATCTAGTAATGGGTGAATTTCATTAGTAGACTTCCTAATGTTGAACCATCCTTGCATTCCAGAGATAAATCCAAGTGAGTCATGAAGTAATATTTTGCAATACATTGCAGGATTTGTTTTGCTAATATCTGAAGATTTTTCACATATATTTCAGAGCAATTTTTTCCTTTCCCATAGTGTCCTTATCTGGGTTTTGGTATCAAGGTTATAATCTCAAGAGATGTGTTGGAAAGAATTCCTTCTTTCTCTGCTCCCTGAGACAGGTTGCATAAGATTGTAATTATCTGTCCCTGGAGTGTTTGGTTGGACTTCACTGTTAAGCCGTTGGGTTAGGTGTGGATTTTGTTTTTGGTTTCGCTTGTGCTTATTTTTGGTTTTGGATAGATTTATAACTACTGGTTCAAATTCCTTAAGGTCAGATATCCTGTTCTAGAAAATTGTCCACTTAATATCAATTTTCAAATTTTCTTTTGTAAACCTATCATTATAGTGGTAGTGATTCAATCCTCTCATCTAAGTCTTTTTCTATACTGACATATTCATATTCCCCTGAAAGGGCAGATTGGGAGCAATACAATAAAACTTATCAATTTATACCTTAATATGAAGTACTATGTCACTTACAACTTAGTAAGAAGTACTAAGTCACTTACAACTTAGTATGAAGCAATTTAGCAGCTACTGTTCCAAAGCAATTTTAATAAAACTAATAAGAAAACAAGAAAGCATCCAGTATTTGCAGAGAAAAGAAGGGTGACAGAAAGGTGCACTTAGAGCTAGATAGGATATGTCAAGCTGTAAGAAAAAGCAACTTTAATTTGGGGTTGCATCATTTAGAAACTGCATTCAGCTGCCAGTAGCATGGACTTAAATACAGAAGTTTAAATACTTGTACACTTTATTCTCTCAAGTAAGAGAAATACTGAGGTGGGCACTTGAGGCCAATATGAGCTCCACAATCAACAGAAACCGTGGCTCCTTCCTTCTGCTCTGCAGTGCAAGGCTTTCATCCTCTAGAGGACCTCATGGTCCAAAATGGCTGCCAGGGCTCCAACCATCACAAATATTTTATAGGCAGGGGCCAGCCCGGTGGCGCACTGGATAGTGCGCCGCTTGGGAAGCATGGCACCCCTTTCATTATTAAGTGACTTTCCCAGAACATCTGTTCACATCTTACTGGGCAGAGTTTAATCACATGGTCATTCTTAGCCAGAAGAGATACCAGGTAACATAGTTTGTCAGCTGGGCACATCAACAAAACTTCTGCTACTACAGCAGAAGGAGAGCCGGATATTAACAGACCACCAGCACATCTGCCACATGGGATGAAAATGGGTTTCCTCTAGGACTCTTTGTTTCTTTTCTCAACCTCCCAAAATCATATTTTTCTCTCAATAATCCAATACAGAATTCCAGGCAAGCTGCTGAAGACCAAGTCTGCTGAATATCTTGACAAATTCCTTCATTATTTTTACTTTTTTATGAAAATTTCCAAACATTCTTTCAAAGCAGAAAGAATAGTAAAATGAACCCATATATATCCATCATCTAGATTTAACAATTATTAACGTTTTGCTACATTTGCTAAATTGTTTTGTT